CGGAAGCGTTGATTGTTGTGAACGCTGTTTGGATTGGGAATTGTGTCGAAATCATTGGTCATTGAAACACTGTTTCCATTACTTTTATTTTGGTTTCGACACAAGAGTCTAAAATCTACTGAACGCAAGTCTTTGGCCCACTTTTCACTACTTTTTCCATCAGTCAATTGAAGGGCTGTTTTATAGCTGACAAACGCCACGTCTCCTCTCCCTTCCACTAAACATCTAAATGTGAAAAACAAGATAATGTTTGAATCAAATGACATATATTGATTTGAAGGCACACCTGAAGGCTCCCTCTTCTCCACTGTATCGCTCGGCACCCGATATCTCGCAGATATGACTGCCGTTCTGATCGCCAATACATTGTGAACATAGGCTGTCGACTCCACTGCCATTAGAATTGATTCTTGCGTCGGCGGCTCCGGGAACACACGAACCCATGAAAAATTGGGACATCTCTTCAGCTCTGTTGCAATTTTGCGTTGAAATGACTGAATCTTGAATGAGAGCGCCGACGGGCACAACCCAACCGGTCATGTGTCCAAAGCCCGTATGACACGATCGCTTCCCTTTCAGATCTGCGAGCGAAGAGATCTGTGAATCTGCGCGAACCACAGCTACTGAATAGTTCGGTGTTTCCGTCACTTCCGTTGCGATCGGTAATAGAAAATCATATCTGTATTTGAAATGAAAATGTTTTTATTAATCAATAACTTATTGACAATAAGATGTAAAACAAGTGAAACCTTGAGGCGCGATAAAAGTGTTGCGAATCCAGAGTTATTAGGTCTGCCTTTCGGTTATTGACGGCTTCGACACAAGCTTTGTATGAATCGGCGGAATGGCATCTAATTTGTGGTCTTATTCTTCGAGCAAACGCTGCTTTTTGAAGGTCTAGACATTTGGCCAACTCTTTAGATGACGTCAAACAAAATGTCAGATTCTTTCGCTCACATCCCGGCAATGGCTTCTCAATAGATGGGATGTAATTGCCTTACAATACAAACAATATATTCAGTAATTTCTTAAATCTTTGAATACAACAAAATAAAGTTTCATTTTTTAATTCTATAATTTTTTAAATGGAATTTTTTAGCCGTATATTGCAATCATTATTTAGATGCCCACTTTTATAAACATGAATTAAATTTTCAAGTTTTAACAATATATTTCTTTTAATTTAATAATCATGATCCTGGATCATTTTGATAATTATAATATATATTTAAAATATATTTTATTAGAATAAATTTTTAATTATTTGGGGAAATATTTTCTTCATAATTAGCATTAGTATTATTATTTATTGAAAAACAATTTACTTCCAGTTTTAATATCAATGTTTCAGTGATTGCTAAATGAATACAACGCCCAAACACTCAACTATTGTTTCTTTAAGTACTGACAATTCAGTAAATCATTTAGACGTCTAATCCATTATACATTGAATAATAGTGTCATTTATTTTCTTAAAACTAGTCGTTAAGTGAAAATGAGTAGAAACTGATAACACATATAATGAATATACTTAGAAAATATAATCAATCATTTTGTGTTGGGTTGCGTGATATTTTCAATAATTGCATTCATACTTATAATAAACACATTCTAAATATGTTAACAATTCTGCGAAATGTGCATTGCACAATATTCTGCAATTTGTGATCAAAACTCATTATTTCTTGTTTTATTACAAGTTAAAAATACATCTCTTAAATAGCAGATAATATAAC